TAATGCTTTTGCAAAGTTTCATTCAACCTCTATAAGGTTAGGGTTTGAGTGTACGTTGTATATTGATATGAAAATTAAAAGTTCATCTCTTAAATCAAATTATTTCATCGGAGTGGCTTTGAAGACACTTGCACCAATACTCGGAGTGTGAGTCGGAGATGTCGGGTTTAAATCTTCATATCTGCAAGAAGACGATAATAAATTCGGGTTAGTCTTGTTAGGAAGCACTTATAATGCAATAAACATCAATGGGACTCGCGCAATAAACGACGAAGGTGATGCTGTTGAGGTTGCCTTCATGCAACATCATCCAGGCCATTTGATCTGGATATTATTTGCACCATACAAGAGACAAGATGAAATTAATTTTTATTCCTTATCCGATCTAATGCAATGCACCTAATACGTTTCAGGCACACAAAAGAATGTTTTAGCTGAGTGAGCTGTATGGACCTTCCTCCAGTAACAAGCACAAAACTGAAATAAGGAAAGTAAACTTGTACATTTTCCTCTCCTTCTATATGGACCCTCGAGAAAAATACAACATTGTTAACACTAATGTTATAACATCATAATATGCATCATACAGAAAGTTTCATGTTGCAATAACACAGTAAAGATAATGAGATGCTAAGCTACATCAATCCTCGGACTCAAGAACATTTTACTGCCCTCGAAGAACCGACAACCACAAGAAACTATACGGCTCTGCATATTCGGGCGTCTATGACTGGCATAACTCCAATGCATCTGCCAGTGACATTGGTTTCTCCATGCATTTTCGGCCCAATGATTCAGTTTCTCCCCTTCTGCTCTCCTAGACTGAATTTTTCTGCATAATTACCTTCACAAACAAATTGTTTAGAACATCAATGCAGAAATACAACCAACAGCACTGTTACTAATTGTGTTAGGGTGGGGGGCTTATTTTCACGAGCCTTTTGATCTACATATATTTCGAAGATATAATTGCTCGGCCCCGATTATTGATTTCTTAAAGAATGAAGTAAAATTGTTGTCTAAAACTGACAACTCTTGAAAAAAAGAAATTTCTAGCACAGTTGAGAGTGTTTGATACATAGGTTAACCTAACTACCTTCTTTGTCTGATATGTGACATTGTTATTGCTTTGCAGAGGGTGATATAATTTGGTTACTTGTGTGTTTCTTCTCTTGCACATTTTTCAGTTTAGGAAGTGCCTAACAGTTGAAATTGTTTCTCTGAGCTGTCAGGCCGTGTTAGATTTTGATTTCAAGAGATCGATAGTATTTTGGACATGTAACAAATACGCCTTTGGTCTGACTGCTACCAGCATCAAGTGCTTTCCTTCCAGGAAGTTCTCGACTGGCGGTTTCTCACCCTTGGAGATTTCCTTCTTGTTTCGTTCGTGAATTGTACTTAGTGAACAATTTCTTCCAAATGTTCAGTGTAGAAGGCAACATGCGTATTTCTTTTAAAATAGATGCCGGATCTTTAGTGCGCTTCTTCAAGTGAGTTGCATATTAAAATTTATTCTGAAATCTTGTTATGATTTTGGATAAGACTACACTCTTAATCTTCTTAAGAAAACTATTTTGCTTTTAGTTCGTTGGTGATACAACATCTGAAAACCAATTTGCCAGGTAACTTTTAGACACTATAATTAATTTTAGCTTTGGAGATTTTGCTCCACTTTGTAAACTGCTGTTCTTTTTCTTTCTACTTTTTACCACAGAGCTGAAGTTTGCAAGCAAACAGAAGAAGCTTATTACGTGGTTTAATATATAGCACACTTGTTTGTGCTGAGTAGTTAAATATTAGATAATGTCATTTTCTTTTCACTTTCTCCTTGGCAACCCATTAAGATTGACAAGGTTCTATTGACTTGAGATTTGCATTGGATTCTGTTTTGGTTTATTTTATTTTATAGAAGCTTTCATTGATAATGTAATGAGCTAAGCATTCCATCCGTTGGGTTGAACTTTGGCGCGTTCTCAAATTTTAATCAGTATCAAGATACTCCATAGTTCCTATTTGCCTTATCGTCATCTTGGGATCCATGATATGGTATATTTTATGAATAAGGTTGTGAAGCCCGTCCATCATAAAGCCGTCGGTATTTCTCGTATGCAGAATATGACAGAAAATTAGTGATGGATTTTTGCTGAAACAGCCAGGAATTTTCAAGTTCTGATATACAGTCATCTGTTGGATATACGAGCACTGTTTTTCTTTTATCTTCTTAGTCATTTTTCAATAAAGTGTCACGAGCAGTTGAAGTCGTAAGAATGGAAAGGTATGTCATTTCGTGATTCCTAAGTTTGGTACTGTGTCAGTGTTGGGTTTTTTGATACCCAGTAAATCCGGGCGATGATGTAAACCGTTTTTTCGTTGGATTATACTTCATAGGCCTCGACCGATGAGTGAAGTGAATATCGACA